CCTCCTCCTCCTCTTCCTCTTCCTCCTCCCCCTCCTCCTCCTCTTCCTCCCCCTCCCCTTCCTCCTCTCCCTCCTCTTCCTCCTCACCTCCTTCCTAAAGCAAAGAAGACAACAGAGGTCTGTGCATTTCTAGACGGAAGCTGTGACCCTCGCCCTGCGAGAGCAACCATGGCATGCCTGTGATAGGACGTGTGGTGTGGGACATTGGGTTTGCCACAGATGTGATACCTGTCAGGTCCAGCGGAGTGGCGTTAGGAAGACAGCTGGGTGAGATCAGGACTCGCGGTTTGATGAGATTTCTCCTAATAGATGTGGCAGTAGATTCACGGGACTGTGGAGAACGTGGGACAGGGAGCAAAGTCTCTAAGAAAGATTTGCTCGTGGTTACAGAAGGAAGGGACACTTAGTGGAATAGCATCCGTAATTAAGGTCTACAGGGGAAGTCTAGGATGGGAATTTATGTGGGGGTAAAGTGGAATGTTGGGGGGCTCACTGGATATAAGGTGGGATTATAATTAGGCGTGGTTTGGGTAGGTGTAACGGTGTATATGAAGCAGAGGAGTTGTCAGGATATGTATGGTTTGGTATGAAAGAGCAGTCTTCCCCGAAAGCTCAGGCAAGCCATGTTCTTCCAGTGAATATGGTCTCACAGCACCCAGTCATCTGGAACACCTCGGATGATAGGAGTCCGTTGTTTCGTGGCCATTTACACTGTATCTGGCTCCCTTTCGAGGCTGCAGGAGCTGTGGAGACCCTGGATGCTTTCTGGCGGCTGCCTCCGTCCCTCCCAGCTCCCTGCCCCAGCTCACAGCCCAGGGCTGGCACACAGTAAGCTCTCCCTAACTGCTCATTGAACCCACTGGGCTCAGTCTGGTAAAACGTAAAAATGCCCCACTCCAAATCCCCAAATGAGGACCCAGAAACTTCAGGGATCCATCTCTGTGACCTCAAGGGTGCTTTGGTAGCCTAGCTGGCAACTTTGTCTGAAGGGAGGTGTCGCCATCTAGTGCCCAAAATGAAAAAATAACCTCTCCATTGTCGCCTTAACTGCCTAAGGGGCCGGCAATGGACAGCCATCCTTAGCACACAACCCAAATCTCGGGCATGAAGGGATGGACCCCAGCTTTCTGCACTGCCTCTGGAATGAAGCAAATAGGAGCTGGAAGACAGAGATCGCAAAGCCCGGTGCTGGGCCGCCCCGCCCCTTTGCCCCTGCATGGCTCTCTCCATCCAATCCTCAGGTCCCCGGAAATCATGACCACACTCCAGGACAGACTTGGTTTCAACTCCTCTTGAACTCAACCCTTCCTGCTTAGCAGCCTCCACTCAGGTAAAGCTGGATCCTTGGCTGTACCTCAGTAAAGAGTATTAAAGCCAGCCAGCGTGAAGCAGGGTTCATGAGTTTATTACAGGAAGGAATTGTGCACATTTTCGGTTGGTTTTAGAGAGGAGGGCCCTAAGGGGAAGGAAATCACACAGCCCAGGACACAGGTGAGGGCCTTGCAAGAGGGAGGTGACAGTTAGGTGTCTTTGCAGTGGATACATGCCATGCTGTGGCCTGCTAAGTGCCCCTAATCAGAAGATGTAATTTACAATGAAGTTCAAAAATTAAGCAAGGTTTAAAATGTAAGTAATGTAGTAAAAGGAAGTAAAAATATGTGACCGTCTTTACTTCTTTCTCTTAAAGAATTTTCTTTTGTAAATCAAACGGCAGAGTGGCTTTCTGAGGTGAACTGTTTGGGTTTAAAGATCAGAAATGAGTGTCAGTACAATAAAACTCAAAGCTGCAGACACTCCAGCCCTAAGTGAGCACAAGTAGTTATTTGAAACATCCTTGCTTGAGATGTCTTTAGGGAAACGCACGTGTTATCTCTGTAGGCAATTTTAGCGTTGTCAGTTGTATTGAGGTTTCTTGATCCATCATCAAAAAAGGCAAAGTACATCCTAGGGTAAGGGGACCTCTTTCCCTTCTCATGTCCCCTTAATTTCCCCTGTCCTTCTTGCCTCCTGCCCAGGAGGGAGTCTGGATCCTACATCATGAGAAGTGAGGGGCTGACAGCCTCCGCTGACGTGTGAACAGGAAGGTTATCTGCAGAACCTGGCTTGATGGAAAGAGGTTATTGAAACATTGTTCCGGCCGCAGCTAGCTGGAGTTCCAGAGCAAGGGTCACCTCCTGTGTCCTCCCAGCCACGGCACAGCAGACCCTGAAGTTGGGTCTTCCTTCTTCCGCCATTCCTGAGCCCCAGGAGAGACTGGAGGAGAGGCAGGAGGTGGCAGGGCTGTGAAGGAAAGGTGTGCATCCTGAGAGCAAGGAGAAAGTTAAAAGAGGTTTATTTCAGGGTAACTTACAACCAATAAAGGGGTCAGTTACTGCATCCGGGAGAGCTGGGGTGCAGTCTGGCGTGATTCTCTGGAGAACTCTGATTTGGCCTGCAGTCCAGGATCCAGGATCACAAGGAGCCAAGAGAGCCGGCACGTAGGTCTCTCGGGTCTTAAGGGGTCCCTTCTCGGCCACACCCCGGGGGCAGGTCATAGACAGGTGTGACAGTTACCTGCTGCCTCACTAGGGGCAGTGCTTCAAGGTCAAAGCTGGAGCAGCTACCCACTACAGATCTGTTGCTGTATATCCCAGTGCCTGCTGTTTGGAGAATGTGCTAGACCAGGCATAAGAGATGGATAGAGATGGTAAATGAAGGATGAGAAATCAAGGCGGTTGAATCATATTTAAAAGAGTATGTTGAGGCATACCCAATGGTGAGTGGAGGAAGGAATGGGGTTGAGGAAACAGCAAGGTGGACTGACCTGTGTAACTGGATAGATGTTGGCGGCTTCTCCTGTGTGTGCAGCCCTGCCCCTGGTGCAGATTTAGGGAAGTGATTTGGGTCTCACTATAGGCTATGCTGAGCTGAGACACCTTGAGGGACTCAGGGAGAGGTGTCAGGGCCACAGAGACAGACCTGCAGTCACAGGAGACCTTGGGTGAGGGCATACCTTCAGGAGTCATCCTGGGTGACAAGGCATATGGGCGATGAGCATGGATGGGCAGTGAGCATGGATGGGCAGTGAGCATGGATGGGCAGTGAGCATGGATGGGCAATGAGCACGGTCACCAAGTGAGCATGGATGGGCAGTGAGCATGGATGGGCAATGAGCACGGTCACCAAGGAAGAATGGCAAGAGGAGGGTTGAGGTAGACCTGTGAGAAAGTACATCTAGTCATCAGATGAAGCTATTCTGGATCCTTCCCTCTTTGTTGGGAAGGCTGAAGTCAATAGTCAACAATCAGTTGTGTAGCTTGATCTGCTTAAGGGGCCTCCAGGCAGTAGGATCAGGATCCATCCCTGGTGCATGAGCTGTCTGTTTGGAGCCCACTACCTATGGGCTCCACCTCACACAGCCTTGAGGCAAGGGGAGGGGCTTGGACCTGCCGCTACTGAATGTACCAGGCTCTGCTGACTCCCCATGGGAGGCCTTACCTTCTTGTAGGAGGGAATGAGGGGTGGGTTGGGGAAGGGGGTGCAGAAGGCTGGAGGGGTGTGAGGAGGGAAGAGGGGGATCTGTGATTGGTACGTAAAATGAATTTTAAAAAAGTCTTAATTAAAA